TGAAATGTACAAAAATTAAGTTGTATCAACTTAACAATCGTAATAATACAATTACTAAGGTTAGAATGGTTTCAAAGGATAAATAAGATGGAAGAAATGGCGAAAAATACTAGAAAGTTTCATGTATCATTTGAAATTTTCAAATCCAATCATCGAAGGGTGGCGATGTATACCGATAATTTATTAAATATATATTTTAACGCGTATTTTTGCAGACTGGAAGTACTGTGTAATCCAGTGTACCGGATACTTGAAGTCCTGGGCGCCGGCAAAAATCGACCTCGAGGAACAGGAAGGCGATGGAGATGGTGAAGCTTGCAATTTGTCGTGTTTAGTTGCGGTCGGTCGATTACAGTCCACGATACCTACGTCCTTGCCTAAAAAGCCACGTTTGCGACCTATAAAATTTGTTTCGCGACACGCGATGGACGGCAAATTCCTTTTCGTCGATCAGAGGTTAATATTTCAATGCTAAGCTCTTTTCTTAGGAATCACACGAGGAACGGTGTATTTTTAGTTCATTTCATTGTACAACAAACACTGTGGAAACTTCAGCACGCTGTACAAATTTTTTTTTCTATTTCTGAAAATTGCTATTCAGTTATTTTTAGAAGTGAAAGATTTCTCTCTTCCCGAGGTTTCCTACAATTTTTAATAGTATAGAAGAAAATCTTGACCCTCTGTAACTTGAGCTTTCTTTGCCCACGAGAAGAAGAGTTTTGGTTCATTTCTTTTACATTTTAATGGGGGCAGCAGGGATAGATATAAAAAGTAATTATTATAAAGAAACTTGCTAGTAATAATGTAACAGTACAACAATATAGTGCAATAGTGGAACAGTAAATAAATAAAGTGTGACTATAAAATATAGATAAATAAACACACAATCTGCAAGTAAGATGACTGTGGAGGATTAAAGTAGCAATTGTCATTTCATACTCATCCAGTAAAATTTACTTAACCCCTTGCACTCCGAGCATTTTTTGATAAGATTAATAATGAATCTTCTGGAAGGACAAAGTTTCGTCTGGAAAAAAAAAAAGGATTTTTAGTGTTTACGAATTTATTTATTTGCATTTCTTGTGTTAATTTGCATTATTTTGATGATATAAAAAAAAGTCTGAATTGTACATTTCTCCAAAGTAATTACGCGTGCCGCCATAAAAGCGCCATTGGAGTGCAAAGGGTTAATACTTACCTACCTGCTTACTTTAATACTAATAATAGTTCTAATAATTTGCAGGGCTACGTTAGTATTAGGTTTCCTCCCGCAAGAGCTCCTCGGCACGAGTATGTACGAATATTATCACCACGATGATATTCCTCACCTGGCGGAATCTCATAAAGCTGCTCTTCAGGCGTCCGAGTGCGTCACCACACAGGTAAATCACCAACCGCCCTCGTCCTTCCTTCTGCAATGATGATAGTTGCTGTTTGAAATACTGATTTAAGCGACGCACTCGACGTTGTTCTTCGGTACATAAATTCTCGATTATCTCTAGCTGAATACTCGCTCTTACGTCTGTTAACATGCAAATTTTCAGTAGGAATAAATTAAAGCAATATATTTCTATTAGATTTTGTTAAATTTTAAAAATGTATTCGTATTGAATTTGAAAAATTTTAAGCATTTTATTGAATTTTAGAAATCCATTTACATTCAAATTTACAAAGCTAACCATCATTGCTGTCGAGGGTATCATAATTAATTGACAAACATATTTCTCCAAAATTTTGTAACAAGATGATTGTGTTTCTTTTAGATATACAGGTTTAGGACGAAAGGTGCGAGCTTCGTGAAGCTTCAATCCGAATGGAAATCTTTCAGAAATCCGTGGACCAAAGATATCGAGTACCTAATAGCCAAGAACTCTGTTACTTCGTAAGTTTCAATTGTATTTTACATTCAAATGCAACATTTCTATGAAATTCTGGTAAAACGTTTGAACGAATGAAAATGATCGTGTTTAGTTGTGACTCCCGATCGATTACAAACAGTGGAAACAGATCTGAGGATTCTAGTGTTCAGGGCAACTACGACTATTTTACACAAAGTGAGTAGAATACGTTTGAAATTACCTTTTTTTTTTTTTTTTTTTAAATATCTAACATTAACGCTGAATCCTCGATTTATAAAGTAATTCGGCTAAAGAATACGGCTGAAGAAAACATTGTAAAATAAATTTTCATTGATAAGTATACATGTATTCTGCCATCCTTCTCTACTAACAAGAAGAAGGTCGTCAAAGCTTAAAGAGGATATTAAACATTATAAACATGTACAAAAATTCTATGTAATACAAGAGTAAATTGATCACTTTATGTTGTACAATAAAGCAAGAAAATTTTTAAACCTATCCCTTTATTTTCTACAAATGCTAATCTCGATTTACGTGGAACTTTCATTCGCATAACTTGTCGTGTAAATCGAGGATGTATTTTATCTTCTATTCTAAATTAACTCTGTATTAACAATTATATATAACTAATATGTTCAGATATATGCATAATTGCAAAGTATGAAATATTCGTAAACTACCATTATCGATGCTTTGAATATTTTAATAGATCATTTCTCTAATTTTTACTATTTTAGAACACCACCGTTTAAAGAATTATTTTCGTCTCATAATTAAAAATAATTTTAGGTAACGGTGGATTAGAAAGATTGATCTCAAGTCACGTAGAGGTAAGTAAAATTGGTCGCCAGATAGCAGAGGAAGTCCTGGATCTTCAGAGACGCGGTGAAGATTCCTCTTCCGGTAGCAGTCCAGCGCCAGGACAGGACCCTGCTTTGTTAAATACCGAGGTAGTTATAACTATGGAGATATTAACTCCAATTCTTTTGCCTGTTAGAAATTTATTATCGACAGAGCATTCATTTTAATTTCAGAATACACATTTTCACTAGTTACTTTCTTATTGTTTTCTTCATTTTGTTTGTACATTTAATATTGACCCTTTAACTATTCTGATACAGTCTTAGCTCAAGTGACAAATTTCGATGATTCTTATCAAGAATGATTATGTGTTTATTACATAATCTTTGGAAGTAATATTTCCCTGAAGCAAGAAAAGAAATTTTAATATTGATCTCAAAAGTATAAGCGTTGAAGAATTTCAATAGATTTGGTGACAAATAATAGTGTAATGTTTTATGTGACAATGAATTTAAATTACATTTTATTTGATTATTTACACAGAAGAATTCTTTTCAGTCATTTTCTGCAGATTTTTGAAATTATAACGTATTACTTTACGTCTTACAATTAGTTGAAGATATTTAATTTCTATATTTAGCATCTTTATATTTTACCCTGTAGAAACTTAGAGTCTTATCAAATTAGCTAATTTAAAAACGTATGTTAAAGACAAATACAGATAAATAGTAAAATTATTAGTTGTTCAGTTAATCTGTCATACACATTTAAAATTTGACTGTTATTACATGAAAATATTTTTAAATAAGTTGAAATGTTTTAAAATACTAGAAAAATTAATATACATTCCTGTAACACTGTACCGCAAAGAATTAAATAGAATATTCTTCTTTCATATCTTGTTTTCGTTAAAAGTCACAGATCACTACTACCGCATCGCCTGAGAGAGTCCAGGACGTGGCGCAGCCAGCCAGAGGCAACAACAACAGCAGCAGTAATCCTACACCAACATACAACCACATAGCAAACAACTTGCAGCTGAACAGCATCGCGAACGACCAAGGTCATAGCTATTACTGTCTCTAAGGAGTCGTTTCTTGGTGTGTAGTGCGATTGCCGGATTTACCAAAACAGATTAGGTCGCTCAAAAAAAAGAAGACCGAGCGAAAGCTTGATCGATCATCCTCAAAACGCATAAAACGCTGGTTTTCTCTGAGCGAAATTGGGCAAAAAGGAAGTTCGTTCTGATATCTAGAGAGAAACCTACACATTGGATCTAACATATATAAAATAAAAAATTTTCAGCATTAACAAATATATCTCATATATCTTCTTTTTTTTTTTTGGTCAATTTTTAAGCAGACTAATTTCGTTATTTATGCAAAACCTTGTTTCGTTATGCTTCTTTTTTTTAGACTATATCGAAATTTCATTGTGTTCCAAAAACCAAAAGAAGAAGTTAGTATAAAATGATGTCAGTCTGTTTTAAAGGTTCGAACATCCAGCAATCAAGCCCGCAAATATAATGTTCGTTTTTTGGCATAGCATTATAATTTCAGTAGTAGCGTACATGGCGACACCTAGTGTGCACCTTTGTATAACAGCTGCGCATAACATAACCTCCCCCTCCTTTTAGGAGCGTCACCAGACGAGAATATGATGGACATGATCGGTGGTACCACGATTAATGAATCACCGAACCCGGTGCCATCGGATGGCAACGACGAAGCAGCAATGGCCGTGATAATGAGCCTCCTAGAGGCAGATGCAGGTTTAGGTGGTCCCGTGGACTTTTCTGGTTTACCCTGGCCTCTTCCATAGTACATTTGAATTCTCGGTCCACGTGAAACTGAATCGATCTTCTCAAGTGTTCGATGGAGATACCTTATGCTGACTGTTTCACAACCTAGAAGTGTGTGTACATATAGTTTCAAGTGAGGACCAAGCAGTTGATGTTTTTTTTTCTATTTTGTTGTTTTACAATCTCGTCGTATTCAAGTACTTGATCAACTCTTTCGTCAGTTGTGTCTACGTTTTAACTGTTTGGAAACTAGTGCACGAACATCTCTACGACATTTTCATGTTGTTTTGTCTCTTTTGCTTCATTGAAACAGTTTAAACAGATATATTCTTGGTGCTGAGACGGTGCTGTCTAATGAATGAGCGTTAATCATCGAGCGTTTTAGTTTTATAGACATATCATTTCTGTGATCAAGAATAGAATATCAAACGTACAGAACGGTTAATCTACTACTAAGTTTAAGTGAACGTTTATGTTCGTTTGGAAACGAGCAAACAGAGACCGGTCTGGAATTCGTTGGCTACAGTCGTCGAACGATCGTCGAGCATCGTAAACAAGGATGATTTCGGGAATAATTCGTTCGTAAAGTTATAGCCCTCTGAGAATCAAACGTATTTTTTTAATATCATCCAATGGATCATTAAGTGGCTCTTTTCGTAATTTATAATTAAACTTCTGTTGTTTTACGTCTTTTCTACACGATTAGGTATGATTTAAATATATTGTAAGAACAGTTATTTTTATCTTAATATCATAGTTCAACTTATTAATTAACTGATTGTTTAGAAGTGTTAATTTCGAATTTTCGCTCAAGAGCTTCACGCGGTAACATCAGGTCTCCTACCTCAATCTGTATTTCATTGTAATCTATTGATCTACTTCTGCTTATTTTTCGCCTTCAGTAAAAAGTAATACGCAGGATTATTCGGTGACTTTTGTCAACTAAGTTTCATTCGAACTACGAAAAATACAAAGAAATACTTATGGAATAACAGTTATTCAAAAGAACTAACCTATTATTTGATCAAAATTTTATTAATTCAAGTGGTATTGAAACATACATTTTATCTTACAAAATTTTCATATAAGTATACATACATTTTTCCCTTTCTACATACATTTTTAAATATAAAGTTATTATTTTCATATAGGCAGATTGACTTTAGAAGTATGTACTATATAAATGCAGAACTATACCAATCCTTATTTCTAGCATAATACAACACTGTAGATGGCAAACGTATAAGAAATGTTCAAAGAAAAATTGTGAACTTTGAGAAAATATGCCACTTAAGAAAGTAAGTCAAAAATTGTTTTATACACTTTCCCAAATGCTTAGAAGGCAATAGTCACCGATACTGTACACCAATGATTACTTCAAAAAAACAATTATGTGGATATTTATATGTATATAATATGTTCATTGCACATTGTCCGTTTCGTAAAGCGAAGAGCTAAGTCAACATTGTACATATATGTATTGGAAACCTTTTACACGGTAATCAGTATAAATGTCTTGTTGTGCCAGACGGTGCAGATCAACGGAACATCTTACAGTCTTCGAACGCGTCAAATGAAGTGTTTTATTATTTTGGCGAACGTTAAGGAACAAACGTTACCGAGTATCGAAGTCGAAGTTCCTGTATGTTGTTTTTAGTGACAAATTAACGTTGCGTGTAAATATATATTCTCATAGAACGCGTGATATGACGCAAAGCGTACCTAATTAAATTGTAAGGAACCACAAAATGATGACGAACATTTCAGGAACCGCAAACAGCCTTCGTCGCGACATGAACACAAGCCTTCATGTTTCTTCACACGCCACATATTCTTTTCGAAAACCTTGCGACAGTCACTCCGCCTGGTAATCCGGTGTAGTAATTAAAACGCTGATCAACTTTATCAGTGTATGCTGTGATGAATTATTTTGGATACAAAAACTAAATAGAACATGATGTCTTGTGACAATACTGAAATTCTTTAGCTGAAACTTTTGAAAATTTTGCGTACGTCCTCATGTTTTGCAAACATTGTAAAGTTAAAGTAAAATTGAATGTTCAATTGAATATTTGCTGTAATAATTGAAATCTTTACTTTGAAGAATAATTACCTTTGGTCACTGTATATTATTGCAAGATGAATTCTTAGATAATATCGAAATGCAATTAAGGAACATTTGTTACATATTTATTCTTAAATGTATTTCGATTTGTTTGATTCGTGAAATTAGATACTTTCATTGTAAAAATGAACTTTGTGTGCTTTTTTATTGATTCACTTTTCGTGCCAGAACTTGTTTCAGATTTATATTTTTATAAATATTTTAACACATAAACATTCGTCGTACAACATTTTAATTAAAAGCAAAATTGTGCCGAAAAATGGATCCAATGAAATCACTTCACGATGCAGCTAAGTGAACTGATCGAATGAAAATGATAAATTACGTATGTTACATAAGAATAATGTACATAAAGCGTGTATATGTAAATAAATATATATTATCATACAATATAGTATAAATGGTACTTTAAAAATAAATGTTACTACGTAGGGAAAAACGTTTGATCATACCATTAAGAATAGGAAAATTCTTTAAATCTGTAATTGTTTTTATATAAAATTTTTCATTGTAAA